GAACAAGAGAGAACGAAATAGCACAAAACAGAGTTTGTCCTTTTTCTACGTGAACCTCTGCCCCCACTGCTCAAATGAAGGCAAACGCTCGGTCTAGATATATTATGTCTATGATGCCTACTTTGTCATTTGCTTTCGTTTTGCCTCGATCCTTTCTGCGCATCCGCCATCATTTTGGTGGAGCCAATGAGACGGATGTTGTATATGTGGTAGTGTGAAATCAGTGCGACAGTGTGACAGGATTTTATACCAAAACCATGGCGGAGTACCACGTGATCGAAGCCGAAAAGATCAAAGGACCGACAAAGAGTGGGGATACTAGTTATACTATGCGAGAACTATATTCGCGAGCGTCAAGGCCTCTGCGTCTACGATGCTAGAACTTGCTCCAAGTTCTGGTTTCGAGAAATGTGTAGCCAATCAACTTGCAGCTATTCTATAAAGGCTGGCGTACGATTATCCCGGATCTCTCCACGTGATCGTTGTGACTTAACACGAGATTAGTGCACGAGCCGCCGTGACTCGAAATGCCTTGCCAATCGACTTGCAGCTATTCCATAAAAGCTGCCGGTTGATTGGCTACACATTTCTCGAAATTTGGACCAAGTTCTAGCCATCGTGGACATGGACCTATACGGAAGTGGGGAGACAAATGTGTCGCGAGTGTTCGAAGCGGTGTAAATGTTACCTCGCCTATTACTTTCGAAACTTCGGAGCGACGCGTGTCGGATCGAGTGATCCTCGAACGAGATGAGTGATGTACCGGTCACTTGCTGACGCGTGATTTTTTCAATCCGGATCCCCGTGCGGTTCGAATTGGCCGTTTGTTTTACGCGATCTTTAAGCCTGATCTAGAAACATTCCATTTTGTAGCCAGTACGTTTAAACAATTTGTCGCGCAATTGATAAATTGTACATTGTACATATCGACAATCTTTTCATTGAATTACGTCTGCAATACAGAACGTTTCTATCAGTTTTTGACTCGACTTCTCGGGCCGCACTGAATACTGTGGTATCTAACGTCTTCCCAATTTCTTTTGCTCGGGATTCATTAATTTGCGAGGGTGCAAACTGCGGCGTTAACAGCTTCGAAACTGCGAACCGTGGGAAATGAAGAGTTTCTCGCGGATTAAATTTCGACCTTTCGTAATTTCAAGTTGTCGGGTGTACACTGAAGTTTTAAAAGTTGCGACCAGCGACCCGCCGTCGTGGAACTCGTCCCGAGATTTCGCGGGAATCAATGGCGCTTCGCGTGTCGCCGGCACGAGGTAAGCCGAATATTGATCCGGAAGCGTATCGCCAGCCGCGTACATTACGCATTCGTCCAGATTCGTCCGTCGCGATTCCTTTTATTTTTTTTCCCGCCGGTGCTTTTAGTACTTTATTTTCCGGCGAGCGCGTCGCGCGTCGAGTGCGCCCGCCGATCGCACGTAAGAACGTAAGCACTTCGCCGCGAGGGCTTTTGTCTCGTCGGCTCTTTGTTTCCCGTCGACGGGTGTCTCCTCGGCGGGTCAATGAATCGGCCTGCGCGCCACGACGACGCCCGCCCGTGGAAATGCGTTTCGTTCGATGCTTCGGGAACGTGGCGCAATTGTTCGACAGTTCGCGACTTCGTGTCGCTTCGGCCTCGCTACTGCACATCGCGCGTATGCTGAGCGCGCGCGAATGTGTTGCGTTAAATTGTCTGAAAATGCTCAAACGTTTTTCTAATGCTATATTCCTATTTTACGTTCCGAGTTTCTAGAGCTATATACGTAGAAAGGAATAATTTCGGTCTCGATTCTTTCTTCAATTTGTTTTTGTGATCGGAGGATGAGACGTTGAAGAAGAACTTTATCGATATTTAAGTTTTTTTCTGTTCTGCTTTAAAATTCGTTTTTTTTAGTTTGAAACATTATGCATTTTATGCTCGTCTGTTTCAATGTCGAGCTCTCTGGCAAAGCCAAGGGTAAGCTAAGAGTCTAATCGAAATTAAATGGAGGAGTATGGAGATTTGCCGTCACTTGCGAGTTAGCTTTAAATTTCTAAAAGTCGCCATCTGCTTCAGGGCGTGTGCGAATGCGTCAATAGGAGCGTTCGCGTTCGGATGCTCGCACTCGCGTGGAATTCGCCCGGCCGGGCTCTGTTGGACATTGACGTAATCGCGTCCCAGTTGCACCGCACGCTATTACGCAAACGTGTTGTTATCGAATCGCGCGGCCGCTTCTTTCTCTCGCGCCTCGGGAGGCGCGAAGAAAGACGGATTCGTCATCCCTTCCCACGTGAATCATGCGTTAATTAGCGTCGATATCTTTTCTCAATATTTGCACACCGATTACCGTCGTACATCGCAATGTAATCTCGTCGTATATTATCATCTCCGAGTAGCTAAGGGGATCCTAAAGCCGTCTGTTTTATCGGAGTTCTTTGTTAGAAGTAATCTTTTAAGTGGCTTTATAGAAATGCAAAATTCTTTTGTGGAATTAAGGTACGCAGCAAAATCTAGACTATGCTGGTCGACTTTATATCAAAAACGAAAAACTTTTTTTAATTTAGTAATTTTTGGTACACCTGACGACAATATTTGCTTGATACAAGAATTCTACAATAAATTTGTACAAAATGAGGCCAGCGTATTCTAGGGACAACATTGTTGGTGCGAAAGCTGAAATAGCGAGATGAACGATTTCGACGAAACGTAGGTCGAGTATTGCCAAGAGACGAAAGCGCTTAAGGTTCGCTTAAAATTGACGTAGGAAAGTGGAGAAGCGATTCTCAAAGGTGTCGGGGGGAAAAAAATAGACGCAAGGTCTTCGTCGCGCGCGCGTTCTAGGATCAATTCGTCAGCTCGCAAGACGAAAATTTAGAATCTCGCGGAACGCTTTGATCGTTCTTCTCTGACCAGTTCTTTCTTTCTGCCCTCGCAGGATGTAGCTGTGCCACTCACACCGCTGACGGCGATCGCACAGACACCGCGGAAGGAGCACGAGTCCAAGTTCACCTTCAACCCCCATCTGGCGAAGGTAAGAATCGATCGATGCACCCACTCACCGTAACTAGGCTCTTACATCTCGCCGATCAAAATGGCAAACGGGCGAATCGAGAGTAATCACTACTCCGTTTGAAAAAGCGCTTTGACATTCGCTACAGAGGGCTGCCTTAATTCTCCCGTTTCACAGGGAGGATACTTCCGGTTTGCTGCGACATTTTGTCCCCCACGCCGATTATTACCTTCCTCGCGATTTTTTATTCAGAGCAGCGCGATAAAACGGCAGGCACGAGAATGAAGAGATACGAGAGATGCCTCTGAAAGACAGGAATAAGTTTTTCCCTTCTTTTATTCAGTATCGAAGTAAAACGGTTCGCGCTTTTGTTTTACGCGACGGGGAAAGGGTTAGAGTTCATCGAGCGCGAAACGATATCAGAATTCAGAGAAAACACACGGGGAGCCACGTGGCGTGTGTATCACCGTAACGCGTTTAAATGAAAATAGCGTGAACGTGAACTTCGTTGCTCTCGAGCGGCGCATATTTTTGGGAAAAGCGAGAGGGACGGGTGCAAAACGGCGAGATTGACTTCGCGCCTGTCTCTCTCGCGAGCGCGATAACTCACAAGCGCGATATCGATCGCGGCAACGTTTCGGATCGTTCGTGCCACTTGGCGTGATGTCAAGCGTCGCTCGGTGCACGCGTCGGTGTGCGCGTATCCCGCGCGTGCACGTGTACGCGCGTACACGCAAGGACAGCGGACCTTGTCGTGGATGCGACGAGGCGCGAGAGGCAGTCGCGTAATGTCTTATTTGCGTGAATTAGCATTTTACGAGTCACGGCGGCTCGGGCGCTAATCTCGCGTTAAATCGCAACGATAACGCGGAGATCCGCGATGCGCGTGGCCGAATACACGCATTAGCTTTGCGACTATTGCCAAAAAAGACGTCGGGTATTAAACGTTTAACCGCTCGTCGATACGCTTGTCACTTCGCGATTGGCGTATAATTTCTAATGGCGACGCTCGCGGTTTTCCGCCGATTGAAATCATTGGCGTTGACGCGGCTGCGCCGAGATGTTTAGGTGATCGTCTAATTGAGCGTTTAATTGATCGGAATTCGCACTCGGTTGCCGGTTGTTGAAACAGCGTTTTGACGGGCGGGGAACATTTGATACCTGCGGGCGAGTAATTCTGGAGCAATAATGTGTCGGCCGGGTGGGAAATGTCTCGGATCGCATTAATTCAAGCTAGGTCCCGTGCTACTTGGCAACGTATCAAGCGTTCGCCGCTCTCAAAAGCTGCAGCGCGGCCATAACGCGACGAGGGGTGGAGCGGGGTTGGAGCCGGCAGGGTCGACCGACCGCTCGGTAAAAGAGAGCGAGAGAGAGAGGGCCTCGTAAGAGCCGCCCGGTTTAATTCGGGGTACGGCGTCTCTTTTGCGGTGACACTCATCCGACGGAAAAACCCCGTCGCTTGACCGCGCTCCGCGAAAAACGGTGTTACTTTGTAAATAAAACTGCGGACGAGACTAATCCGTCCGTCCACTCTTTTCAGCCCCGTTTCTTGCCGCTCGCGAGAAAAATCTTCTCGCGATAGCATTGATAAATAAAGTGGCTTTTTTACATTCCCGATATGGAAATCTACACTCGGCGCGCAATCATCTCGAAGATTTGCGAGAGAGAGAGAAAGAGAGTGGGGTGAATTTATTTTTAATGAGCGAGAAAGAGTACGCGTCAGAAGTCTCTCGCATAATAAAAAGTTTTTTATCTTGTTGCCAAAGGCGAAAAATATTTAGTTTAGTCATTACGAAGTTAGATTATGAGATTAGCTGAAACTTTCTTCGATTTTATAGTTCGTTTTCACAGCATATTTACGAGAAGGACGAAAATCACGATAACAAAATTAAAGAGCCGTAAAATAGTTTGCGGAGCAAGAAAGAAAGCTTGTGTATTAAAAATTAAGAAATGAATTTTCTAAATACCGAGTTTCACAAAAATTTAAGCGACTTCGGCCGGCCTGGACTGCGAGCGAGCTTTCAATTTACGCGCGTTGTTAATCAATCGATCGCGGATCTCTGAGAGTTTTTCAACTTTCACCGGCGTTTGTCATGCGCCGCTGCCGATTTATAACGTCTGGTAGGGCTTTGCATGATATTTGCAGCCCGACACACGCTGCAGGAGACTGCATTGCGTATTATAAATTCGTTTCCCCTCCTCTCCCCCCCCCGTCCCCCGCCTACGAGACTGCGGAAGGTTCGGCGAAGAGCCGGGGGAAAAAGTGTGCGCGATAAAAGAGCGGAGGGAACGGAGACGCGGAACGACGACGGCGAGACCGGGCGAAATCGGCCTCGTAAAAGTGGATTAATTCGCCGTATATACATATATATGTATATACACGTACGTACCTTCCCCGCCCGGGGATCCTTTTTGCGTGCGCGGGTAAATTGTAATAACGGCCGAATGCAAAATCGCTGCCGGCGTTTTCTCCGCTCAAACGTCGCGAGAATTACTCGCGGACTTACCGGGGATGAAATAGCGCGCGGCGCGTTCGCGAAATTGCGTGGCGCCCGGTGGATCCCCGGCCCGGTGGTCGACTTGGCGCTCCCGCGGAATCGTTACGCGGTATAATACCGGGTCTTTGTAGACGGTATAATTACCATTTAGCAGGTAACTTAAGCAGGTGCGTGCGCTTTCCGATGGCTCGCGTTGCGTGCGAGAAGCGTGGGGAATTTATGCTCTATCTTTATGGTGCCACGCCGCGCGCGGTGTAGCAAAGGTCTCTGTCCACGATGCTCGGTCCGAGTTTCGAGAAATGTGTAGCCAATCGACTTGCAGCTTTTATGAAGTAGCTGCAAGTTGATTGGCTACACATTTCTCGGGACTAGAACTAGGACTACGTTCTAGCGTTGTGGACGCAGGTCGTAATAGAGGTAATTGGTTGTTATTTGAATCGACGAAATATTTCGTGCGATTTAGACTATTAACAATTGCACTGGCAATTCGTCTTACAACAGCATAGTCGCTGATCTGATTTTTTTTTTACGGCATTTCTTTGCGGTAGACACTTGGTTGCAAGTTGATTATCTCGCGTCAAGTCTCGCCGGAAGTGCCGCCGAGGCCGAGATGTTAATTTCACTCGCGATTGCAAGAATGCACGTAAAGGGCCGGCCAAACCGCGCGATAAATTTCTATTATGCCCAGGGAGAAGGGTATGCTGGGTATCAAGGGAGACGCAGGGACGCGTTGTAAATTACTCGATGCGGAAACGAGAAGCGAGGGGACAAAGTACACCGCCGCGGTTCCCTTTACAAATTTTCCCAGATCCGTTTAATTTCCCGCTGTTGTTTTCGCCAACTTTCCTCCTTCGCTCCCTTTTGCAACGTTAAATCCTTACCGACGTTATTTGACAAACTATGTGTAAACTATGCCCGAGTTATTTGCCGTGTGCCGTTTTCCAGAAGCGAATATAATTCTCGGGTAGGTACGCGGCGCGACGTCTCGTTTGACGCCGCCGGTTCCCAAGGGCGGCAAGCGAGAGATTCTGCAAGAAGGGACGTGGTCCACGTGCGATCGGCCCTTTCCCGCGGAATACGATACGATCGCTGAAAGCCGACTGTCCCGAGTAAATTCTTACGTATCCTATTTTTCTTTTGCAGTTGACGGAAGTCGCCCCGCCAGAGCCTGCGAAGCCACGTGAGTACTCGAAAGATTTCTTAGTCTCTTCACGGAAAAAAATGTTGTTGAATTAAGCAAAATGAAGCTGCTTCAATTAAACGTTAACGTCACGGGCTGCCACAAACATAAATAATTCGCCCAATTGTATTTGCTATGGATTTCAATTTTGAGCATTGAACTAAATATCCAGATTATTAACCCTTTGAAGCATTCATTTTTCTATTGAACCATTTTTTGTGAAATACTGTACCCTTGTACCTTCGTACAAACCTTCTGGATACGTTATCGTGTACGAGCATTACGTGCGTGCACGTACGTCGTCGGCAAGTTTTCCCCTTCCGATTGCAATTCCTTCGCGGGGTTATACACCGAGGGGGAAAAAAATGTCCTCTCCGCATTACGCGAAAGCGTGTAACGAATCATTTGCATCGGCGTAATTGGCATGAGGAATCTCGTTTACGCGCGCTTATTTTCATACGAAATCACTTGCACGGGGATATTTCATTAAATGATTGTTATATCGTATTTTTTTTAAATAAGGGGGGTCGAATTGGACGCGCGGCGGAATCCTCGTCACGCACGCCGCTGCATTTTCACGAAGTTGAAGTTTTATTAACGTCAGCGCTGAACGCGCCGCTGTCAACTTTCGAGTCGGTGTACCGGCGTTTACCGCAATTTTTCGCGATAAAACACACGTTGTGTCAGAATGCAGAATATAGGATCACCGGCGGACATAATTTCTGGAAACTGTCCGCTACATTCGCCGACGATTAAAACGCAACGCTGCGTATATCGCCCGGAACGATATTTTAAAGTCACGCGCGCAGTCGAATGGATATTAATCGGCGCGTCTGTAATTCGCGCGTGCAGTATCGATATGGAATTCACGGATCGATGCGAGAGTTTTATATACATATCCGCTTAACAACATGTTTTCATAAAAAAAAAAGAGGAAGAGGATCGGGAGGAATATTCGCTGCAGCGGAACGTAAAAACCTGTGGATTCCGCGCGAAAGCCCCACCGATCGTCGATTTCGCGGGCGCGATTTCATGAATCAGCCGTCCGACCTCTGGCATTCGTTCATTTAACCGCTTAAGCGCGCGAAATACGCGTTATTTATTCGCTCGTGCGATCCTCGCGCGACTCATTATTCATCGCAGGTCGCGGCGCACGAAGCTCGGTCCCTCTTTTAATCTCGTTATCGGTTTCTTGTAACGTTTATATTAGGATCTGCAATGGACGCAGCGAGTCGCAAGCCGCCCAGAAATCGACTGCCATCGGCCGATTTCTCGCCGGCTCGCGATTTTTGCCGCGTCTAATAGTAGAACCGCCCTTAGGATACTATCACATTTGTCGTACGACGAATTTTTTAAGTGTAATGTTGATTGGCTACAGGATAGAAAATTTCTAGATACTCGAGAACTTTTCTATCCCGCTACCAGTCAACACGCTTGGAAAATTTGTCGTACGACAAATGTGATACCAGCCTTACTGTAAACCCGTTGCTTTGATGTCTAATTTGAGCCCCAAAGGCTTGAGAATAATTTTACTATACACGGAAAGAATTTTTTCGTAAAATTTACACGGACAACATGACATTTTGTAGAATGTTATGAGAGTTTTTGGAAATTTTACCGTGCATTTTACTAGGAATTACACTTAGCACACATTTTACCGATAGAGAGTAAAATAAAAAAAACTCATAAAGTTCAAAATACCACGTTGTCCCACGCTTGCATGATTTTCAGGAAAAATTTTAAGAGAAAATTCTCACCGCGCCGCGCACGAGCAGCTAGGCGGAGGAACTTTGATTTTTAATAACTTACCGGAGCGAGGACTGGGATCTGGTGTACGTGGTTACCAAAATGTTAGAGTTGATCGCGACGCATTAGAAATAATTGTTCGCGTAAACGATTGTGACGTAACCGGATTTCCACGGAAATACCCCTGCGTCCGTTGTGCGCGATAAAAGGGCAACCGCGACGGCTTGAAAGTGTAATATTCGCATTGGAAGCATTTAAATATTTGACATCTCCTCCGCGAGCGCCGCGGCGCACCGGAAGCTTTTCCGGAGCGCAATACTTTTATGCACGTTAAATTCGACGTTGCGGAGGCCCGAGAGAGATACGCTGCTGTTAAAGGTAAATTAACACGATGTGTTAGTGCCGGCATTAATATTAATGTTAACGTCACGATTTACTAACATAATGTTTCGTTAAACAAGCCACCTGTTTATGCGGGAATTAATTACAGCCCCCCCCTTTCCTCATTCGAGAGTCATTGCAGCAAAAGAATAAAATAGGCTTGCTCGATGAAATTAGCGCGCGGAGTGGATGGTCAAGCGGATAATTTTCGCAGGAATCGAAATCTTGAAAAAGATTCGCGGATCCGTCGATATTCCGGTACTTCGAAACGAACGGTGAAAAGGGTTAGTGTTTCGTGAATTAACCATTTCTCCCCCTTCCGACGTTCCCTGCCCGATACTCGAATGCCAGTGGCCACTTTACAACGACTATTATCGGGGTTACAACCGCCCCTCGTCAACGATCGGGAGTCGGGACGAATTTGCTTCTCGTTGGGTAAATTTGAACTAGTCCCTCCCTCTCGCGATAAGCCTATTTCGCACCCTTTACACGATTGCATTGTGCGAAAATCGTGTAACTCATTGACGTTGTTCAAAGGAGCAGCGAGTCGATTCTTAAAAATGGGGCGGGTTGTTGCTGAATATCTTTTTCTTTTCAATTTTCATCACTGTATTTTGCAAGTTGAAAACATATCGAGACAGCCGGCGTAATACTTTAATATAAAATTTGCGGCAATAGAAATGACGGCAATAATAGTAAAATTCGTTTCGATTTTTGTAAAAATGTATTAGCGATCGTGCGCAACGATAATTGCCGCAACAGAGGGATTAACGGTTGCGGGAAATTTGCGAAATTGATTGATAAAAATTTTCGCTCTTGAATAATACGAAATAGCGGGCTGTTTGAAAAAACGCCGGGAATATTTTTCGCAAATAACGACGTTACAATTATCTCGTATTTCGCATACACAGTTGCGGTCCACGAGTGTTTCCTACGCAATTGCATTAAATGAGTGACGTTTCTCGGTAACCGTAAGTAATTTAGTCGGTGAGAGCTGGAAATTGCAGGGGGATGGCGGGTCTTCTGGAAAGGGACAGGAATATCCGAACGAACCGCCCACGTTCCTTCTTTCTTCATCGGAATTTCCGCGGAACGGCATCGTATATACCGGGGACGGCGGGCGGCGCGACGCGGTTACGACTTATCAATTTATTTCTCTCTGGAATCACGAGGTCGACAGTTTCCCGTTAACGAGGTCCGGTATATCTTCCGCGAACTGCAGCAGGATCTTGCGCCGAGGAATCTATTCGCGCGAATTTCTCCTCGGTCGAGAGGAGAGACTCTCGCAATCGAGAGATATCGCATTCTCTGAAAGCTCGATTCGCGGTGGCGAGGGAAGAGAAAAATCGGAAGTAGACTTATATCATTTCATCCTGCTCGTTATGTCACCGAATATCAACGGCAGGATAACGAGAAACGGGGATTTCGAGGTAGAGAATGGCCGGGCTCTGTACAAGTCTCTCTCGCGGAGAGACGCGGAGCCCCGTCGATTTTACGTCTAGGAATTTCCGTTCGTATCTCGGTTGAGTCCTCGCGTTTGAACCCGTCGGTGAGTTTCGATCGGGTCTGTACCTCGACGCTCCATTGAGCAAATTAATGAGGACTGCGCGACATTATTGAGCCACGCAGGCGCGCGCGTGTAACATCGTCGGCATGTAATACCAAACCGTTGTAATACCGTGATCCGCGGAGCGAGCTCGACGAACGCTATTAACGCGACGCAAATTGCGCAACGTTACGTTCGAAAACCGCCTGCGACTTCGCACGCACGCGGAGTGGACCTTGATTTTCGATCGAGCCGGCCCTTCGGTCGATCCCGGTAATGATTTTCGCCGGCGTCCCTACCGTCATTTTGTCTATTGTAATTTAGAATCGCGATTTCAATTTCATTTCCAGCCTGACCGGAATCCTTTCGATCGCTTCGTCTAACTATCGAGCGTAATCTAAATTTAGAATTCGCGCGGAGTTTACTTCCACCTGCAGTCGCTTTACCACCGACTAGCCCGTCCGTCGGATCTCGAAAGTAGTTCACCGCGGGAACTCCCGGTGGAAAATCCCCACCCAAGGGCTGCAGTCATATTCAAGCGCGCTTGGTGGAAAAATCCCGATGTTCCCTTAATAAATAAGGAGCCGTTGGGCGGCGGAGGTCTTAATTCCGCGAAGCGTATCGCTTTCCTGATTAACGCGCGAGCGGCGAAGGAGTCGAGGTCGCGTCGAGCTGATTAAGAGAGGAGGGAAACGCGTTGAACACCGGAATCCCGACACGCGTGCGATACCCACGCCCACGCTCGCGACGCACGATCCACGACTACCTGCGCACGCGTGCCCACGCGAGCTAAACCCATATCCACCTCTTCCACCGAGGGTGGACCGTCGGTGTTAATGAGCGAAGGCGCGATCGCGTGACCGATGACCTTTGATGAACCTCGCGGGCCGGAGATGCCGCCGGGGGAACGAGGGATGAACGGCTATGCCGAATCGTTCATTCTTTATTCACCCCAGCGATCAAACAGCTCGGCGATCGTCGCGCGCGTGAAATTTTCTTTCCTATGGGGAATGCTCCCCGTTGTATCTCGCGCCGAGCATTAATGTGGGCTAGTCGAGCCTCCCCCCCGTTGAGAATCTAAAATATTTATGGGACCTGATTTCTACACCCTAAATCGAGTGTATCTTTCCCTAGGATTTTAATTTTTGCGTCTCGCGAAAAGGAGCACGCGTTGTCTGTTATACGTTGCGGTATAAAATAAAATTCAGGATACCTATAGCGTTTTCGACTGACTGGAACTGACATGGGTTTTAGCGCTCCATTTATTTATTTTTAATTTATTTTTCATTGATTATTCATAGTCCAGTCGAAAACGCTATAAGTAAAA